CAGAGTAATTGTCAACTTGGTGAAAGCCTCTAGAATGACAAAGTGTAAAGTTAAAAGTTCTGTTCACACCATTTACAGTTACTGCAGAATTTCTCCCTTCTGAATTTTCTCCTGAGATTATGGCAAAGCTCTTGGTTAAAGATTAAGAATTGTAACCATTGCCTCATTACTCCATTATCTAGTATGGAGTTGGAAAGAACAGAATTATTTAGCTTATTTCCATTGTTTCCTATAATTCTCCTGGTATTACACTTCCCTTGCTTTTTAGCAAAAACGTTTTCACAGACATGTAATAATTTTCTCTTTTACTTGATGATTTCCTGATGTTTGAAATCAGATAAAAAATAAAGGTGAAATTACTTAGATAATATACATATGAAATACAATATAAAATAAAGGCAAGACAGTAGCCTTAATTATGAGCTCTAACTTCTTGTACAACTTTAAATCAGAATTGGGGATATTCCCTAGAACAGGTACATATATTCAGCAAGTTCATGGGACAGTTTCTGAACCTTATATGAATTCACACACTGAATGAAAAATGGTGTGACAGAGAATTACAGAACAAATTAGCCTGAAAGGAATGTGGCTGAGGAGGTCAGGTATTCTAAATTCCTGCTCAAAACAGCTCCAGTTAGAACAGGGCTTCTATTTCCAAGGATAAAGATTCTGCAGCTTCATTGTTCCAACCTGTCCCAGTATCTGACCACTCTTATGGTAAAGAGGAAAACAGAAGAAAAGAGAAAAAGTCCTTGTAAGTGGCTGGAATTTCCCATGTTCCAACTTGAACCCGTTGCCTCCTGTCCTATTTGCTGCAACTCCAAAAAGAATCTGGCTCCATCATATCATGTAATTGCAGCTCTTGCCATCAAATTTTAAAACCATGTCTACTGTTTAAATATAGCCATCTTTATGTTATCTTGAAATGAAATTCATGTGAGAAAGCAGGGCTACAGAATAATATAATCTTCTCCATGTTCACAGCATACAGGAGTACTTGTCAGAGGACAATTAGCAAGAGGTTTAATTTGTAGTAAGGAAGCTTCAGATGGGATGTTAAAAAGACATTCTAATTACAAGGTTTATGAAATCAGTAGAACAGTTGTCTGGTGAAGTTGCAGAGATCTTGGAGATCTCCATCCCTCGAGGTCTTTGAGAACAAGTTAGACAAACTTCTGTCAGGTATGACAGATACAGAGATCTCACCTTGGGGCAGAGCAGTGGACTAAGTAATCTTTGCAGTAATTTCTGTCCCTGTGTTTCCTAAGAAGGTTGAGACTGCCTCTGGTTAATCCAGGTGACTAGCACCCAAGCTTGAGCCTATGGCCCAAACTATAAAATATTTAATGCTACTGAAATACTGGTCTAAATGACACATTTGATATATCACATTTGTACCTACTTTTGCAAACTTCTGCATTTTCTTGACAGTGCTCACTTAAGTGAACTATGTTGAGATGGTTAAGAATTCTTTCCTAATCAGTTGTGGGAGAATGTGCTCTTTCCTCCATGTGCCGCTACAGGAAGGGTACCTGCATATGATCAGCAGGCAAGTGGATTTGCCTAGACTATTGAGGCAAAGCCTTTGGCTGGATGAAAACCTCAGACAGGGCAAGCCTGGAACCTAAGGCATTTACTACTACTGAAACTAACCCAAGCACCCACCACCACTGCTACTGCTTCCATACGTAATACAGGTAGGTTAGACCTGTGGCACAAGCACGTACAACATGAGCATTGTGTGATTTCCAAGCTGTACTGACATGACGCTCTCCAGCACGTCACTCACTACAACAGTAGTGTTAGCTTACTTGGTAGCACAAATTTCCTGTGGGTCCACACAATCCAGCTGGCACCTATGTCCCAGTTGTAAACCTCTGTTTTAAGGACATGACCTGAAACATACTTCTGCAGGAAGCACTACTGCAATATTCCTTTTAGAAATACAAGTCCCTGTAGCACTAAAAGTGAGGTTAATAATATGCTACTGTGTACTGGACACTACTGTGTACTGCACAGATACTTAGAACACTAAAGATGAAGTTCAAAACGTGTTTACATCCACAAAACCATCTGTTTCACAATTACATCAGTCAAATAGACCATTTACTCAGAAAGAGCAGTGTTTACAGCTCTAGTTAAAAGAAACAGCAGTGGAACAGAATCTGTAAATAGTGGTGCAAACTTTCTGGCACATTTATTTCAGTAATGTTTTCTCAAAAGCGGTCAAATGATGATTGATAAAGTCACCTTGGCACAGAGAGATTAGGCTTCACATTTTCATAATGGTGACTATGAAGGTAACTTTTCCTCCCTCTATGAGCTAAATAGTTAATCACAGAGAAAAAATAGCAGGGGTAAAGTACAGAACTGGTAACTAAAGTGCTTAGAAGAGTCAAAGAGCTACCATAGCACAGCACATTTCTCAGCTTCATTCTCCTTATCAGACAATTTAGACATCTAACCTTTGCTGCTAAATGAGACTTGGAGTTCCTCCCCACTATTTTGCCCCTGGCCTCCAACTGAGATAGCCAATGAATATACAAAATCACAGCATGCAAGTCTGCATGTAAGTCTATCAGAAACGTAATTCATTAACTTGGTGCCAGACACAATATGGTTTCAACTTTTAGCTGCCTAAAATATATCTTTAAGTACCTTTAGTTACCTGAAAGGCCTAGGTAGAAGTACAGTTCAGACACATGCACATGAATGGAAACCTGCCCAAACCCCATCCATGTAGATACACAGATTTAGACTATTCCTCACAAAGTACACTTCCCATATCAACAAAACCTGGTTTTTTTTTCCAGCTGACTCAATGAAAAAACCTGAAACACCTTTCAATATCAAACATTACCCCTTTCAAATGAGACAGGCTAAGTTCTTTCCAGTGTTCAGCTGCATTCTAGTGACCTTTGCACACAACAGCTTATTTTGGACAGTGTCAGGCATTGGACAGTGTGGTGTTATCAAAATGGAAGTGTTATGTTGGAGGAAACAGTGGTAAGAAAAAGATTTTCTCCATAAAAAAGGGGGGGGGGCAATAGAAAACACTTTCTTCACCTCAGTTTTTACTATCTAGTTGCAATTTCAGTGCACACAAGATATGAAGTTATAGTGCTAAAAGTACTTATTACTGTACATATGAAACAGTTCAAGAGAATCAGAAGATTTTTGATCAGCTTAAGAAAGAGGGAAGTAAGCGAGACAGGAAGCTCTCAGTTGAACGGCCAGCACATTCTAGTAGTATGAAAACTGCACCTTTCTTCTAAAGCCTATACAAACACCAGGTATTATTTCAAAGGTACTGTAACGTACACTGTAAGACTTCTGAACATAGGTCAAAGACAATACAATTAAACAAAAAGTTATGGCAAGAAAAAGAAAACCAATCAGATACTTGGAACAAAACTCTAAAGGATTAATACTGGCACCAACTTTTAGTACATTACAAAACCACAAGTTTCAAGTAGAAGACTTTACTGCAATGAATTTAGATTCGGTAGGGAAGATTCTGAATTTGGGCTTTAAATTAAAAAAAGAAATAAGATTTAGGTTTTGGCAAGAAAGAAACATTCTCCAGGCAACTTCAAGCTGCTGTGCTCCCTTTGCTCTACCTCCATATCTCGCTTGTTCCTTAAGACATAGCCCTCTTCATACTTCCTTTATAAGCAGCTCCTGGTGTTCATGCCATGTACACGTATGCTAAATTATTCCCCTTCCTCAATCAAAACTTTCTTCAACAGGAAAACCTAGTTCTGAATGTTTCAATGATCTAACACTGAAAAACAGGATTAAGAAAAAAAGAAAAACAAAAGCCAGCAAATTTAATTCTCTTAGAGTAGAATGTCTTCTCATTTATCAGATTCCTTTCTGCCCACAAAATCAATAGTCCATGATTTATGTTAACAGGAAGGAATTCAGTAGCATTTTCCAGGAGCTCAGAACTGACAAAAGTTGGCTTGAAGCCACAGAGCTCCTGAACAAGTGCCACTGCATTGTTTCCCACCTTTGTTCAGCATGGAATTGTTCTTGAGCTAATAACCCTGTTGGACTAAACCTGGTCTTTTTAGAGGCAACTGCTGTGTCACCTTTGGTAAAGCCCAAACAAATGGACCCTAGATACTGAAGATGCAACTACACAGAGACTCTAGGCCATACAGGAAGACCACCACTTTCTTCTTCAAACACTGTTAGTACTCAGTAAATGCAACACAGGATAGAAATCTCAGATTCAGTGTGTTAAGAAGCCTGTGGCATCCCCAAATAAATCTGGCAGGCTAGTCAAGACCCTTTTGGGGAAGTAGCCACAATAGTATCCGCATTAAACTAAAACAAGGAAAAGGAAAGCAGCAAAGATGGCTGTTACCCCCAGGCCCTGTCCATAATTAATGTCATGTACATATTTATTTACAATACCACCATGTTGGGTCAAGCAACTTAGGAAAAAGCCCTAATCACAGAGAAGCGTGTCTTTTTTTTTGCAGTAAAATACTTGGAGGACAAGACAAGCATGATTAACATGGGTAACACTGGTTAAGAACAGCTGACATGTGTATGAATTTCAGCAGAAAGATCTTAGGGTGTTTTGGTTGGCAAGCAGTGGACCTTCAGGCAGGCAAACACTTGCTGGTTAGATATTCATAAAATATATAGAAATGGGGCTTTAGAGGAATGCCTGAAACCATGGTTTGATACAAATACTAGCTTCCTTCTTCACTGGTTAACTACATGTAGAATTAGCACTAGACTCCCACTTCTTTAATGTAAGTAAAGACATCAATTTTGTTTTAAGAATGTGAAGCATAGGCAGGTTTTGTGTCTTCTGCATGTGCATTAGTACCCACTCTGGCATAATGGACCCTAACCTAGAATATGGCAACCAAGTGCCCCATTGCAGCGCGGGAGTACATCCAACATCAGAACACCAGCAAGTAGTCACAAGAAGAGGTAGCAGGCTTTAGGTCAATTATATAAGTAAATAAAAATCATACCTTAAAAAGTGCAGGCAGAGTTGTGTTTTCCTTTTGGTGGCTCTTTGAATTTATGGCTTCGTTCCCTTTGTTTTCAGAACTGAAAAACAAAGATATTTTGTAACACTTAGGAATTGCATTATTCAAGTCTACCAGAGAGCCAACACAGAATCATTCATTTTAAACACCAGACAACATTAACTTAAAAGGACAGAAGAACTTATTTTCCAAACCACAGCCCATATTCTGTACATACTGCAACTGAAAAAAGCCATGCCCCAAAAAGCCAGTTTCACCTCATACAGGTTTTCAAACGCAAGCATTCAGAAACGACACACAGCAGTTCAGTTCTTCCAGCTAACCCAAACCCTACCTTACTGTGTATTATTTTCTGCCTCAAAACAAAAAGGTATTATAGTTCAACCAATCGTCTACCACAGCAGCACTCACTGCCATGGCACTACCTGGCACACCTGGCAGCTAGAACTTACTCCCAGCCATTATACTGAGGACTGTGATTGAGTGTAATGTACTCTGGGCAGATGGAAAGAGCTACAAATCCAGCTACCACTGTTCAGTGAAGAGTTATTGAATGGCTTTGCAGGCAAATTCAGAAGAAAGTTTAGAAAGGTAACAACAGGCATGTTGTTCTTGCCAAGGAAACATGCCCTGTTCCGTTCTAAACGTCAGAAATCCAAAGTCCCATATACCCTTATTGCCAGTTTATCTTGGCCAAAATTTTCTTCAGAACCCCTCTTTGAAATGAAGGGAACCATTCTCCCCCTGACTCTGATTCTTAGAAGGATCATTAAGCACAATCCATCTCACAATATTCTAATCAAAACCTTTGTGCTACATGCAATTTAAAAGCATGAATGTTTCAAAGAGAATGTTAGAGGATGTTAATGACAGGTATCAGTTCATGCACTGCATATCACAAGCTGAATTAAAATAACTTTGTACCAATATATCACGTGAGAAATGCTCAGGATTGAAGAGAAGTCATAATCATTCACATAAAATCCTCATCTGTTTTAGAAACTTAGCTTTGCTATCGACAAATGGACAAGCCCTTACTTCTGAACTTGCATGAAGAGATGAATCGAAAGCTGTTTCAGTAAAAATTAAAACCCAATTATTTTCATTTTGGTGTCTTTCTGCCAAGATTTCAAGCTCAACATGATCCAGCAGTGTGCGCTTAGAGCCCAAAAACCTAACCATACGTTGGGCTGCATCAAAAGGAGCATGAGCAGCAGGACAAGGGATGTGATCCTACCCCTCTAGTCTGCTCTCGTGAGACCCCCCACCTGCAGTACTGCATCCAGCTTTGATCAGAGGGCTGGAGCACCTCTGCTATGGCAGATTTCTACTAGCCATAAGGGAGAAGTTCTTCACTATGAAGGTAGTGAAACACCGATACAGGTTACCCAGAAAAGCTGTGGCTGCCCCATCCCTGGCAGTGTTCAAGGCCAGGCTGGATGGGGCTTGGAGCAACCTGCTCTAGTGGAAGGTGTCCCTGCCCATGGCAGACGGGGGGGGTCCAACTAGATGATCTACAAGGTCACTTCCAGCCCAATGGTTCTATCATTTGGAGAAAGGATTTAAACATACTGGAACTCCTACTGCTACTGACTGTTAACCACAGGAAAGCATGTCTCATTAAGACTTCTGAAAATGAAGGTTTTCCTCTTTGTGTGGTTTACGCATTCAAGCTAAATATACATTGGTATACAAACAAATACAAAAGCCAGTCTGACTTATATGTTAGTTTCCTTCTCAGCTGCTCAGAGACATTTCCTGAATAAAAATGAGAACAGCACTCTCCTGCAATTAAGTTTTTCAAGACCTTCCAAATCTTTTCAGATACATCAAAAGAAAAGCTCCTTCCTCTTTTATAGATCATCCTCAAGTTGAAAACCATGTACTTTCACATCACCCCAGGTAATCTTCCATAATGCATTCATAAACACAAAGATGCTTTTTCAGGGAGAGCATCAGACAGAAAGTCTTGGCTGTTCTTTGCTTCAATGTAAGACAGGGCAGACCCTATTAATTTCTTCTGCTGTTAACGTGCTTCGGGAAGGAGCGATCACAACCACTTCTGGACAACCTGGCACACTAATAAAAGCGTTTCTCATTACATTTTGGTTTTGGGTTGTTTCAGGGTTTGCTTTTTGGTTTGTTTGGGGTTTTTTTTTAATATAAAACCCCCACTCTTGTCAGATCTGCACAGCTTTTCCTGCTGCTGATACACTTGACATGAACAAGAATTCCCTGTACATAAAAGCAGAATAATGATGTTGATCTCCACCAGACATTCTTCCTGGCTTCAGGAGATCACTCTTTATGGAGCTTGTCTGCAGACAAATGACATCCTTGCTTTCTTTCAGTATTGCCAGCACAGATCACCAGCACCCTTTTATCACTTTGTTTTGCTCATACTCTTCTCTTCATATGTTCCCAAAACTCTTTTCACTTTCCTACTTAGTATTCAAAATATATGCCTGCATTACTTCTAGCTAGCCAGGCTTGGACAGATTGCTGTGAAATTCCATAGTGTACATACCAAACCCAAAAGAATGCAATTCAGCTGATAAGCATCTTAAAAAATCAACAAGTCATATAAAAAAAGTATCAAAACTTTACTTTCCAGCATAAAATAAACCTAAACCTGGAAGCAATTCCCCATACCCTTTCATGGCTTACACCAGCATTTCTACATTCCTTAACCTTTTGCTTTAGGGTATAGTTCCTCAAGGTGCAGACTTTGTCAGCAGAACCAGCTTTAGAAACCTCCACGCCTTCCTCCTCTCAACCTCAGCTTTCTCTTCCCACCCTTAACTCAGCTGAGCAGAGCTCTCAGTTAGGGCAGAAGAAAATTAAGGCAGAAACAGAAGTTTCCATCAGGAAAAAAATCAGCCCACGATCCAGTTTACAGTGCAGTGATTTGTACCAGCACTAATGAAGGGGCAATGAATGCCACTCAACAGGCAGGAATGAGCAAGCACCAACCACTGCAGCTCTCTTCACCACTGCAGCTACTTTTTGTGAACCTCTTCTACCCTTAGCTAGTTTTAAATTGGTCTTTGAAACAGAATGACTCATGCTGAATGAATGAAGTTTACAGTACAAAACCTTGATTTGCTGCAAACAGGCCTTTTGGATTGTTCAGGATAAAATTGTTTTGTTTTTCCCAAAGAGTCAAGATACTTTTTACAGCCTAAACATCACAGCCACAGTAACTGATGCCAGGTTTGGTACTTGGACTGGAGCGAAGGCTGCCTACAGCTCACTGGGCTCAAATGATGCAACTTACCACTTCCTACTACCAACCCCCTACAATTTTCAGGGGTTTCCCCCTTCTCATCATTGCATCAATAACTTTACTGTCACTATTTACAAGTTTTGGAACACTGTGTAGTATTCTCTCCAAAGGTTCTCTGAAGAGGAAAATAAAGTAATAAGGCTCACAGGCCCACACACTGCGATCCCTGTTGAAAAATCCCATGGTGGAGCTAATGTAATTATGCCACACATATTCTTACACTGCAACATAAGACCATGTTGTCCATATAAGTCTATTCAGAAATGTAGAGAACACAGTTCTTAAGCTATGACATTCACAGTTAAAATTAATTCTTGGGAAATGTGTAAGACATTTAGTATTTATGCTGAAAATTATCCATTCAATTTCTGTTTATATGCCCATGCTATCCTTTTTAATTAGTGGTTAAATGTTATACTTTCAAGAACTGTATTCTAAGAGGGTTTATATTTATATATATTTTTACAGGACAATCTCTGCAACTAAATACTGTTAGAAATGTTGACTTCATACCTACGTGATACTACACCACCAAATTCTGATGCCTTTGATAAGAACTGAAAACAACAGTATTACATACAAGCTTACCACAAACTAAGGATTCCACCTTGCGCATCTGGACTACATCTCTATTAATAAAGTTTGGCTCCACAGAGTTTGAACCTTGCTTTGAGCTTTCCCAGATTGGTGCATTTTAGGAGTGCTTTGCCATGGCAGGTACTCAGCAGGCTATCTCCAGTTCAGCACATAGAGAGTTGGGCTTGTGCTTAACCACACGGATTGGTTTACTGCATCAGTCAGCCAGCTCTTGGAGAGCATTTCAGCACTTGCTAAATTAGGAAGATGAAGCTCATGAGTCTTCAACTCTGTGCTTCACAAACTACTCTTGTTACCTTATATACCCAGCAATAGGGCTCTACTAACCCAAGTTCTGAATCAACTTTGCACTTGCTTTTAAGAAGTGAAAGAGACCCTAGGAAGGCAGAAAACACCTCTGCAACACCAGCTTACTTCCATGGACTTCTGAAGTATACAGGCAGTCAAACTGTCACAACTACTTGTTTAACATACTTACACATACACTACTTTCACTCTATAGATTAAGAAAAAAACCCCACAAGTACGTAATTATTAAATAATGCCCAGAGTAATAAAGACACTGTCAAAATTAAGACTAGGAACTAAGCCTCTCAAATACTCAAATTTGTAATCTACTGCCTTCCTGCTGGTATTTCTGCCAGACATTCCCTTTTCCCTGTTAGAGCATCCAACATGGATGGGTTAAGCTTCAGCAAAGGTTGAGGGACCTCCTAGACTGTCATGCCAGCATGCCTAATGTGATTAGCATCACTCCCATTCTTTAAATAATCAAGACTGAACTCAAGTTACAAAAGATCCCGTTCTATACCTTCTGCACAAACCTTTCTTTGTGTGGTTTTCTAATGCTTTCTGTTCCTCTGCTGCTGAAATCCTGTTTTGACCTTTCTGTAATACATGGACAGGTGGTGTCTGAATCAGAAGCAGGTTTGTGGTCCAAGTTTTTAATCATTACACTCATGCAGGGGAGGTTAGAGATTCGTATGGGGGAAATACTATTCTACGCTGTTGCTCACACAAAAAGTAGGCGCATGTAAGAAGTGTGTGCCTCAAGTTAGTTAATGTACATGAGTGATCACAGTCAAGAAAAAAGAAATCAATTGAGCAAATGCAAATACATCTTTGCAAGACCTCTTCCAGCTCTAAAACCAGAACAAGACAACTGCAAACAACCACAT